GATAAACATAGGGGTGCATATGTCTTTTTCAAACTGGGCTGCTGCATTCTTAGGGTAAATTCCTAGAAGTGGAATTCCTGGGTCAAATGGTATTTCTATTTTGAGCTTTTTGAGGAACCTCCATACTGCTTTCCACAATGGCTGAACTAATTTACATTCCCACCAGCAGTGTAGGAGGGTTCCCCTTTCTCCACAACCTCACCAACATTTGTTGTTGTTTGTCTTTTGGATAGTGGTGATCCTTACTCGTGTGCAGTGATATCTCATTGTGGTTTTAATTTGCATTTCTCTGATGACTTTACATTTCTCTGATGACTAGCAATGTGGAGCATCTTTTCATGTGTTTGTTGGCCATCTGAATTTCTTCTTTGGAGAACTGTCTGTTCAGCTCCTCTGCTCATTTTTTAATTGGGTTATTTGCTTTTTGTTTGTTGAGGTGCATGAGCTCTTTATATATTTTGGATGTCAACCCTTTATCGGATCTGTCATTTACGAATATATTCTCCCATACTGTAGTATGGCTTTTTGTTCTATTGGTTGTGTCCTTTGTTGTACAGAAGCTTTTCAGCTTGTTATAGTCCCACTTGTTCATTTTTGCTTTTGTTTCCCTTTCCTGGGGAGATACGTTCATGAAGAAGTTGCTCATGTTTATGTCCAAGAGATTTTTGCCTATGTTTTTCTAAGAATTTTATGGTTTCATGACTTACATTCAAGTCTTTGATCCATTTCTAATTTACTTTTGTGTATGGGGTTAGACAGTAATCCAGTTTCATTCTCTTACATGTAGCTGTCCAGTTTTGCCAACACCATCTGTTGAAGAGGCTGTCATTTCCCCATTGTATATCCAGGGCTCCTTTATTATATATTAATTGACCGTATATGTTTGGGTTAATGTCTGGAGTCTCTATTCTGTTCCACTGGTCTGTGGCTCTGTTCTTGTGCCAGTACCAAATTGTCTTGATTACTGTGGCTTTCTGGTACAAGACGTTTTTTAGAAAGGTTTTTTATTTCAGTCTTTAAAAATTTTTTTTCCTACTGTTACAATCATAGTGAGCTTATATTTGTAAACTTCTGCTTGAAATCATTTCAGAAATACCACAAGCAGTATATGCATCTTTTAAAATCTTGGTGTTTTTTTTTTTTTTATATATAACTGAAATTTCATCAAATTGGCAGATAACATTTTTCTGGACATTTTATACTCTACTGATCCCAAATTGGATGCAGCACGAGAGGTTTTAAAAAAAATTGAATACCGTAATCTATACAAGTATGTGGGTGAGACTCAGCCAATGGGACAAATAAAAATTAAAAGGGTAAGTTGAGTTGTCAAGCACCTTTCCACTAGTGAAAGGTTGTCTGTCTTCCAGGAGGAACCCATTAACCCATCACAATACAACAGCTCTGTTCTAAGCCCTTTAAGCTCATTCTTATTTAATCTTCACATTATTGGCCTGCCCCAAAGGTGAAGGAAGGAACTGAGGCCTGAGGAAGAGATTAAATAACTTGCCTACAGAGACACAGTGAGCCAGGATTCAAAGCTACATCTAATTTAAGTCCAAACCTTTACTCTCTCATCCCAGAAGTTCAAGGGAGCCTCACATTTTGGCTAGGTTCTAAGGTAAAAAAGTAAATAAATAAAGGAAGGGAAATGGGCCTCAAAATAAGGTATTTGCATAAGCTTCATTGAGATGCTAAGGACCTGCTTTTAACTCTTCTGTCATGGCATATCAGGTTCTCCCAGATGGCACATGCCTGCCCTCTTCAGGTCAGATAACTATTTTCCACTCCTGCTTGTTGAAGGTTTTCTCTTTGTCAGAAAGCCAGTAACACAAGCCTTGCTGATAACTACAACCTGCCTCATAATACTTCTTTGGGTTACACTTTACTTCCTTTTCTTTTACTAGTAGGTTAATAACACTTTTTTTTTTAAGTATCGATACACAGTCTTATATTGGTTACAAGTATATAGTAGTGTTGTTCAATAGTTACCCATATTACTAAATCCTCACCCCCCGCTAATGTAGTTACTATCTTTTACCACCTTTTTTTAAGTGTGAAAACTTATAAAAATTGCTGTATTATAATTGGATTAAAGGATGGCATAGGCAGAAGCTATATATTTGTTAGGGATATCTCTGCTCACTTTTCTTAGTAAAATGCAATTTTCAGAGAGGGAACCTCTTTGTGGTACAAGCCCTTAATGATGAAAAACTGGGGTTCTAACACGAGGAGTCTTATCTTCTCTAGGAAAACTATGAATCCCTTCCAAAAGAGGTTGCTGATGCTAAACCTACTGAAGTATTGCTAGAAGCTGAACTGAAGGCTGAAGACTTCATAGTGGATGTAAGTAGTTCGCCCAATGATGTACTAAGTGAAGAATTTCTTTAAAGATAAAGACTCCCTCTTATAAAAGTAGTATATGTACATTATAGAAAATTTGGGAAATACAGAAGAAGGGAGGAGGAAAATCACGTGATCTCACAGAGAACCAGTATTAAGCAGTTTAAAAATTTTCTTTGGCATGTCAATTTATTTTATATTTTTTAATTGAAGTGTAGTTGATACACAATATTGGGTTTAAGTGTACAATATAGTGATTCAGTAGTTATGTACATTATTAAATCCTCACCCCAACTATTGTAGTTAATGACATGTCAATATTTTTTATGTAAATTGTGGTCATGTGTTAGTAGAACATTATATATATTGACTTTTGAATGTTTCTTAATCACAAAAATAATGCATACCAATTATTGTTTTTAATTGCCTACACACACACACACACACACACACAAAGGAAAAGTTAAGACTTTAACTCCTGTTTTCATAAAGGCTGTGGTGTCTTCTCGTATCCTAATGAGAATGCCAAATAGCATTTTAAAAGCCATATTTAAATTTTAAAGTCATTAATATAAGGTATAATAGAAATACGTAGTACTTTAGTTGGAGTAACTGTGTGTTTCAAACGCTCAGTAGTTGAAGCAGACAGCACAGGCAGAGAACATTGTCATCACCACAGAAGGTCCTGTGGCATAGCTGTGGTCTAGAACATAAGTAGAACGATTGTCCTTAGCCTTTGATCAGAAGATGTTCACCTGTTGTACCAGAGGGAAGGCTGAACACAGGTGCAAATGGGGGCAAGCTTGCTGCTTTGGTGTGATGTAGGGTGAGGGAGTTCCTACCTAATAGCCTATATTTTGTTTCTGAAATAAGAGCCAAAATGGGGTTAGTCACTGAGGGTGGGATTGGGGAGCAGGGTCGGAGGTCAGAGAAGAGGGCAGTGGCTTGAAATCTCATTATGGAGACTGAGAGGATTGCACTGAGCCTGCTGGAAGGTCCAGAGGGCCCGGGCAAAGGCTGCTGACCATGGATTGTCGTGCAGCTTTTTGCTAGATCAGTGGAAAGAAATACAAGGAAATTGAGGGTAACTGCAGAAAATTACTGGATTAGTGGATCACAGAATCTAAGTTAGATTGGGAGAGAAACAAAGATAGGTCATTGGCAAGCTCGAAGGAAGTGAAGAGGCACTGGAGGTCCTGATGAGATAGGAACAAGCAAATAGGAAGAAAGGGATTTTAGGACAGAGACAGGATGCTTAAACTAGTGATTTTTAGAAGGAGGATATTTTTAAATGTTGATAAGGTTCAGAGAGTAATCTGCTGAGAGTGTTGACTGAGTTGGAGTGGAAAATGTGAGGATGAGGATGATGAGATTGGTTGGCCAGCCACGCGTCATTGAGGATAACGGCAGGAATCAGAGTAGGGCGAAGACTCTAAGTCATGCCTGAGTCTTCAGCCAGGAGGACAGAATGCTTGAGGATGTCCGTCTCAGCACAGGGATCTTGAACAGGGCCTTGAAGTGGTACCAGGGAACCGCGAACCTGATGAGCCGGCAGGTCCTCTGACCCTGGGGGATGTGCATTTCCTGAGAGAGCTTCAGGGGAATCATGCTCGCAGGAGACGGTTGCAACAAAAACAAAGAGATCGCAAAGAGGCTGAGGATATAGGGGGGTTGGTTAATGACGGAGTAGAAATTCCGAAGCGCTGCATGGACAAGTTTGGGAGAACGGGAGAGACTAGAAATTAAATAATGGGAAAAAATACAGTAGTGTGCCGATGCTGGTGCAGAAAAGAACAGATGGAAGAGGTGCTCATCCTGTGAGCGGTTACTGAGGAAAACGGTTGGTGGCTGTTCTGCCAGCACCCCGGGAGTGAAGATGGGCATCTGAGACTGACCTATGGGCCAGAAGTGAGACAGGAGTCTGCAGTGTACTGCCTGCCCTCCCATTCTGTGCGGCCTCCTGGCTGTGACAGCTGCAGTGAGCTTGCTGCGTCCTGTTACCTGGCAGGGAACGGTTGCTCAGGCAGCCCATGACCCCACGGCCAGCGCTGTCAGAGGCCTCCCTCCTGGTGGTGTTTCATGTGGGGAGGGACCTGATGCAGCTTTGACATTCTTACACATTATGGCAACATATGAACACTAAGCAAATGTTCAGCAGCTTTCAGAAGTGCCACCAGCTCTTTGGTATTTATTCCGTGGCTGTAGAATAGGAATAAAAAGCAATCCCTATTTTCCCCATGATGTATAAGTGGAAATTCCTCCCTGAAACAGATTTGACAAAACAGCTATTTTTCCAGTAGAGCAATATTGTAATAGTTGGAGATCCCATTCTTAACCAAGGACTCAGGATGTGAGATCCCTTTATTCTGGTGGAACCTTATCTAAAGAAGCAGGAAACTGCAGCCTGTCCACAGGTCCAAGGCATGTCAGCCTGCAACCAGGTGAACAGAAGCAGGTCCAAGGGCAGTTCACTCTGAAATCTTGGGACAGTGTTCCCCATGTATTTTGCTTCATAAACCTCATTTGTTATTTTCTAATTGGTGCATCTTTGAGCAAAGAGCAATCTTTCCATAACCATTCTTTGCCAAGGGACACAATGAGTGTGCCTGGAATTTTTTTCTTTCCTACCTAGGCCTGGTTAATTCCTGCTCACTTAGTAAAGTCACTTTCCCAGAAAAACATTTCCAGTCATTCCCTGGGAGTCTCAGACTACTAGGTTCCCTGATTACAAAATTTCCCAGCACCCTTTGCTTTTCCTTGGTATTTCTTATAATAAATGTACTTTTATAATTATTTGTTCAACCTCAGTCTGGGCCATATGGTCTGTGGGGACTGGGATTATATCAAGTTTCCTTGCGATATCTTTAGTGCCTATCACAGTGTATATCACACAGTAGCTATTGACTTTATACCCTACTTCTGTTGAAAGTGAAAATACCTCCCCCCAACCCCACCCAGAGTTTAAGACCAAACCCCTGCAGGTCATGGACCAGTTACTTTTATTGCACTATGAGCTACCCCGCAAGTGATCTTACTTCTGAACCTCCAGAGAGCTGTGCCCCATTTATTATGATGCCCCTACAACCCTGGATTCAGTTCTCACTGTTCTTATGTAAGTGATTGCTTACTTATGGCTTTTATTAAGGTTATCGACATGGATTATGGAATGGAGGACAAGAATCCTATTGATCATGTTCGTTTCTATTGTAAGAGTGACCCCAGCCAAGCAATCATGATTACTAAAAATCAGGTAATGACTTAGGTAAAACAAATATACTGAAGTGGCATCTGGCAACTCTTTATATAAATTTGTATTTTACATGCAAGGTCAGTCCTAAAGTCACTGTGTACAGTAAAAAGATAAGCAGCAGCATATCTTTAAAATCAAAGTATACCTGATTTTGTGTAGACTAGCCCATCTTGCTAGTCAGTTTTCCACGTTGGCTGAACATAGATGAAAGCTCTGTTTTTGGTACTGAGGTTGGGTTATAAATCTGCGGGAAGGAGAGTGTTGGAAGTTAAATGTGTTTATTTGTGTATTTTCAGCATGAGAGTCTGTAGTGTATACATAATTATACAAGACTTTAGTCTCTTATTGATTGACATGAAATTGTGGGACCCTTTGCAGTATGACAACTACCTTGAATTCTTTTCATTATAATTGGGATAAAATAGCAAAACAATGTGGTGCTTTTAATATAACTATAATGGAGCTTAGGAGCAGCTGATCTCTCTTCAATGTGTGATTTCAAGGCGATAGCAAAATCTTTTCTTCTTTAAAAAGGTTTCACAGCTTTTGCCAGAGAGGTTTGCAGAGCAGCTAATCCGGGTATACTGTAAGAAGACTGACGAGAAGAGTCTGTTTGCTGCACGCCAACATTTTGTTCATTGGTGCTTAATCAAAAATTTCACCAAGCCTCAGGTGAGTGGCTTATTATTCACATACTTTGTACAATTTTTTTTTTAAGTAAAAGCCAAAAGATATCCTCACTTCCTTCTGGAAAGTTCTCATTTAAATTACAGTCATTTGGTTTTGGTCTTGAAAAGAAATTTTTTCACTTTAAGCTTTCCTTTTAAAATGTCTGAATGTATGTCTGCCAGTGATTTCTTCCTCCACCAATTGTGAGTGGGTACTCTGTTTACCATTATTGTCCTATAATGAAAGTGTAAAATACTTTTACACTTCTAAGGTCTTCACCGGGTGTCTCATCCAGTCCTTCCAGTGACCCTGAAAGGTGACTTAAAGTGTCCTCATCTTTCACAGTTACCAAAGCTGAGTAGATAACTTGTTTAAGGCCACATACAACTGATATGTTTTCTAACTTATTGTTTCAAACTCAGCATTTCCAAGCCTGTAAACTATTTAAATTCTCTAGAATAAGAGGATGGAGAGGAAGAGGAGGCAAGCCTGTAGAGAATGTTGTTACAATTGTCTGTACTGACCTACATACAGTAGGTGCCTGGCACAGCAAGTGACCAGTTGGGATTTGTTGACTGACTGAATAAATGTGATTGGCAGGCGGGTAGGAAACGGCATTCTGCTTCCTGGTTCAGTGCTCTCTCACAACACTGTAGCTGAAGGAAACAGAAATGAAAGGCCAGATGTGAAGGAGCAGTCCGAGTGTGTCAGCGCTGTATCAGGTGCCAGATGGGTGATGCGGGTGAGTTCCCTTAGGGCTCAGAAAGTTGGGAGCGCTGTCACAAAAGGCTTACGGAGGAGAGAGGATGCTGCTGGGTCCAGAGGCTGGCTTGTGTTTGGGTGAGTAGCAGAGAGAAGGCGGACATACTTGGCAGTGAGAGCAACACGAAGGCAGACGCCAGAACCGGTTGGATGTTAGAGGGAACCGTGAGGAGATGTGCTGACCGGAGGAGAAAATTCTTATTGTTGAGTGGTTAGAGGGTCAACGGGAGGAGTAGACAAGATTATGGAGAACCTGGATAATCAGCTAGGAAAGATTTCTTATGTTCAGCGGGGAGGGAGTCACTGAGAAAATTCAAGACTAACCTTGCTGCCATAATGATTATTTACTTCTGTTTGTTGTCTCCAACTAGACTGAGACCCGTGGGAGTAAGGAAGTACGTCTCTCTTAGCTACTGTGGCACCTACAGGAACTAAACCACTGATTGGTTTCGCATCAGCTGGGTTGGAACTTGGAGATACTGGAAGCAGAGAGACAAGATGCTATTAAAATTCAGCCATGTGGTGATAACTACTTTAAATCTAGATACAGTCACTCACTGTTTGAGTATTTTTGCCAGGCCCTGTGTTAGGTACCAGGGATAGAAAAGTACCTAAGACATAGATCCCATGCATCTCACTCTGGTTGGGGATAACAGACCCAGAAGAAGTAAATAACAATTACAGTGGCGTGGTTCCGTGCTTGGGATGGGGGCAGCATGTAGAGTCTTAGAGGGGCCAACGGGAGAAAGCTTTAAAGGCAGACTTGGTTGGTTGGGAAAAGCTTACTTAAAGAAAGACATAGAGGCTAAGACCTGAAGGATAGATGAGAAGAGTCAGGTGGATCAAGAAGGTGAGGAGGAGGCCAGAGGAGGAGAGGGAACACAGGGCTTTTGGGGAGGGCTCACAGTTCTGAGGGCCATTAAAATGTTTTCAACAGAAGAGTGACATATTTAAATCTGCATTTATAAAATCAGAGTTGAAATTTGGATGGGTAGACATAATAAGGAAGTTTGGTAGAGAAAGAGATGAGTTTGCAGACAAGTATTATTGACTTTGAGATAGACTGGTCTTCCAAACATGAGTACCATGGCAATTGAATGTGTCTATCAAGTCAGATTCCTAGTAGCTCAACAGAAGAAATTGAATGTGGGGGATGAGATACACACATGTTGGCAGAGCTAAATGAGCAAACAGGACAGTGAGACAACAGCAGGATGCTGCGCCCACCTGTAGGGTAAGAGGTGGGAGGCCAGGTGCTGGGACCACCTGCAGAAGGTGGAACCACAGCTGCCCTTGCCAGGGAAGCTGGGAGGAGAAATACTCTGGCTTCTCTGCCCTCCTTCCTTCCAGATTTCCACCCGGGCCTCCCATTGGCCAAACTTAACTAGAAGCCAATAGGCATGGAGCTGGGAAATGTACTTTACAATGGCAGCTCCTGTTACACAGAGTAGAATGGAGGCAGGGTGGAGAGTGGGTCTGTGAGCAGATAGGCAAATGAGGGGCACAGGGCACCACCACACACGTTACATTCCTGGTGCAGCCCAGGCCCTCAGAGACCTATACCCTCGTATGACCTACGAGAGTCTATCCGCAAGTTCAGGAATGGTTTAGCATAGTTGGGTGTTAGAAAGCATAGCTTCTTACACTCTGCTTTCAAGTTGTAGTGTTGCTTCACTTTGAGGGCACTCCTCGTTTTGGGTGGAGTCTCTGCTGGTGGACCAGAGTGAAAGCTTTGGTTGCAGAGACAAGCTCAAGTTCTGCGGGTATGTACTGTCCTTCCTCTTGTTTGCCATCTTGTAGACCAGGACCATGTGTTACAGAGGGGCTAGGAAAGAGAGGAGAGGGGTCCAGTGAAGTCCCTCTTTCTCCTGGAAAAGCAGGCCAGAGTTTGTGTTGCACAAAAGGTGTTGGGGGAGAGGTTTGTAGAGCCAGGCCATGTGCTGCTTCTGGAGCACCTTTGCAAAGAATAGTCTGGCTTTTGCTAGGAAGGCTCTCACCTGCTTAGGACTGTAAGCATATGCTTAGGTTCTGAAGAGCATGTCTAGAAGCCATCTACCTGCAAGACAAGGATGTACCCCTATACCTGAGACTTTGACTCAAAATTTTGAAAACTGGCTTTTCTCCATTCCTAGTTTTTCTCTCCTTCACAGGATGGTGATATTGTAGCCCCACTTATAACACCTCGAAAACAGGAGTGGAATTACACGAATTCAGCCCAAAATCCAGCTCTCATCCGGGAAGCATCCAAACTCAGAGTCCGGCTTTTTTCAGATGACTCAGTGTGAATGTCTGCAGTCAGTTGTTTACAAGCAGCCCTCTCCGTCTTAACCCAACACTATTAATTAATGTAGGGAATTCAGTCTAGAGTTCTACAAATTTAGTGACGTGGCTTTTATATTTTGAATGTACGCACAAGCTGAAGCTAAGTAATTTTTACTCAAGCAAAAAGGTATTAGGCAAATCCTTCTATACATGCTATGAAAAGCATTACTTTGCCTGTTTTTTATATTAAAGGCTTTCTCCTTTAGAAGTCTATTTTCTTAGAATAACAATTATTTTATGTACTCTAAACTCTTTTGACATATGATTGTTTTTTTTAATTAAGGTATCATTGATACACACTCTTATGAAGGTTTTACATGAAAAACAATGTGGTTACTACATTCACCCACATCATCAAGGCCCCCCCTATCCTATTGAAGTCATTGTCCATCAGTGTAGTAAGATGCCACAGAGTCACTACTTGATTAGATTTTTTAAAATACTTTTTGGACATGAGGCAAGGGTGCACATTGGAATTTGAAGTTGAGATGGTCACAAACAGCCATGGTTAAAAACAAAACAGAATCCTAGCACCCTGAGGAGGTACCCGTCACCCAACTTTGAGGAAAGTTTTCCCTAAGTGATTTAAATATTAGTGAAAGATACCTTTCTTTACCTTTTTAGCCAGGTGGGGGCAAAAAATAGGAGATGAGGGCCAGGAGTGGGCTCTAACTCTTTATGAGAGACCTGGTTAGTTTACTGAAAAGACCTGAGGGCTCTGGCCTCCTTTGAAGAGTGGCAGAGGGAGCCCCCCAGTGGTCTGGGTCAGCTGTGGCTCCGGACCCAGGCAGGCTGTCTCCTGAACCCTCACTGCCCACGTGCTCGGGGCTTTACACTGCCCAGCGGGAGGACAAGGCGCCCCTCTGACCTGTCCTTTGCATCTCCCTTGTCTCTGGGTCAGAGGTCACTGCAGGAACCATCCTCGGGTCTGCTCAGAGCTGGGGTTTTGGTTTTTCTGGTTCAGTGCGTTTTATGGGTTTCAGCACAAAGACTGAGCTGCCTGTGCTGAGGTGAGTGATGACCCAGTGAATTCCAGGTTCCCCTTTGTAGCTTGGTGTTCCCAGCATTTGCTCTTTACCTCCAGCAGTGGAGTGGTTGAGCAGTGTTCTCATACTGAAGGCCCCCGCCCGACCCCAACACATCCCCAGTTCTACGGAAACTCACCAAGAACCAGAGTCTGCAGTTAGAGCCAAAGCGGGTGGTGGCCAGAGGGTCCTGAAAATGCAGTAGGGAATGGGAGTCATGAGCCCCTAGCCTCTTACGCTTGGGCACTTCCTTAAAAAAGCCTCCGCTTGGGCACTTCCTTAAAAAAGCCTCCGTGGCAGGCTGGGGCGAGGAAGCCAAGCCCTGGCTCTGGGCAGGAGAAAGTGGGAGGAAGGGAGGACCTCAGACCACAGGCCGGCGGATTATCCTGTCTTGAGTGCTGCCACTGTCTCTGGCCACAAGGGTATGTGGAATGTCTGCCATTCTATATTATCACCCACCTTCATCCCTCAGATAATCAAGAGTTGACCCTAATTTATAGGAAGATAGTTAAAACCCTCCTCTCACTCCCACCGTGAAGCCGTGTAGGTGGGGGTGTGTTCTTAGGTGGGCTCTAGACGCACAAGTGAAGTCAGCCGTGATATTGGGTGCTATCCGTTTGGCCATGGTGCCTCTAAAGCATTCAGTGGGTCAGAACTACTGGTCTCAGACTTCACGCATCCAGCCCCAAGGTCAAGAATGTAATGTTTTTCTGCTAAGATTGTTTTATTTCTGCAACTCCTACCTTCAAATCATTGTGGCTTATGCTGGAATTTTAGAGCTCCAGTATTGTATCATTGTGCTATCTGAAAAACAATTTGAATCTATTTTGTTTGCATCTTTTGTTACATGTAAGGCAGCTGCACTTTATGTTCTTTGCAACTGTTTTAATTACAAGAAATGAGCTATTTACAAGGTTAAGTTTTATTAAGAAACATCTTCACTATTTGTATAAAAACGGAGACTTTTTAACAGCTTAGCCTCTGTAGTCAGTGAACATTGTCACCTTGAGAATGTAAATAGAACTGCAAGTTGAAATGACTGGTTACTTCATTTGGGTGAGGGAAACATCTGCAATAAAGGTTTGTGAATGTATCTCCATCTTGAAACCAGAAGTGTCATGGCTTTCTCTCACACTTGTGTGCCCAGCTTTGATGCTGTTGTACAAAGGAAATGTGTCTAGGAATCTACCCAGATGTTTCTTAGTCCCTCAGCAGTATGTTGGGTCTGCGAGAGAGGAGACAGTATTTAACAGGGCCTGTGTTACTTGATTTTCCTCCTCCAATAATGGCCAGTAATGGCATCCTAAGATTTTTTTTCTTTTGGCAGGAGGCAGGCACTAGCGTGGGAATGAATATGGATGTTTCTTAGTTTCCAGAGCTCCTGTTGTTCCAGAAAGCATATCCTTCTTCCTTTTTTAACTCCCCTGAGGTTCCTATCTACAGAGTTTCAGTATCTTTATCCAAATGCACATATTGTTTATTTGCCACTTTTCTATCTTCTTCATGAAATTAATTAGGCAATTTGCAAGCCCCTGGCACACCGGTGGCAGACAGAAAGCCCTCAGTGTTCTAGAGAAAGAATGATGGTACTGAAGTCTTTATTATTTTGTTGCTTGAGCACAGGTGTCTGTGGTTTGACAGTATTCTTTGAGTTAAAATAATTTCCAAAATTATAAGAGTTCCATTTTTGTCTCCATGGAAAACTCTGGAAGGATACATATGAAAATCCTGGTGTTTTGAAGGTGGTTGAATTTTAAGTAATTTTAATTTTTTTTATGTCTTCTGGTTTTTCTACAATGAACATGTATTATATAATTTTCATGATGATTCTGAGGGACTTTGCACTGCTTGGGATGAGGCCTAAGTGCCTTTCACTCCTTGCAAGTCTGCTCTCCAAGAGAGCATTCTCCGTGCCCATGCCTGTCATGGCTCCCCAGGCTACAGGGAGGCCGGCTCACAGCCGTAGTCAGTCCTAGGGCCCTGGGCCATCCGTGTTTCAGAGAGAATGGGCTTCCCAGTACAGAGGAGGTCTGGGTGGCATCCGTGAGCAGGGCCAAGCATCTGTTGCCTTAGGAAGCTGTCCACCCTGGGGCCATCAGCTCAGAGCCCAGGCCTCCAGCTCCTGGATGCAGAACTCCTCCTGCCGGGCCAGCACCTCATTGTTGAAAGTCGCACAGGGGTGGCTTCCGCCGTGATACAAATCTCCATCCAACCACAGCCCAAACTGGCCACTGAAGAGAAGAGGAAAACCTGGGCGTTGCTTCGTCCGTGACCACAGCCCAGTTTTACATATATTTCATCTTACCTTTCATTTATCTTGAATTATTGGGGACTCAGCATGTTCCCCACAGGATTTAGAGCATTTTTTTAAACAGTTCAATAATTATAATACGTGCAGTGGTGCAACCATCACCATAATCCAGTTTCAGAACGTTTGGAACATCTTTAAGATGTCAATACTTAACCAGAGGAGTGACTCTCAGGCTTGGGCTCGGCTCAGACACTTCAGAGAGCATCCATTCTCTTCCCCTCGTTTGACAGTGAACCTAGGCAGGAGCTAGGAAGCAGGGTGCCGCACACCAGCAGTGGCTGCTGTGTATTCTGTGCCAGGCAGCCCCTCAGTGGAGGCTCTGCAGGCAGTTGGGAGAGCAAAGAACTTGTCTGGTACTAATCAAACAATGCTTTCATCTCTGCCCCCAGGATAAGATTTATTCTGCCTTCATTTACAGGTCACACCAGGAGCAAGAATAAATAACCTTTCTTCCTAACCCACTCCACCTCTGCACGCACACACATACACACACAAACACGTAGCAAGGTTTCTGGGCAAAGCCTGCCTTCCTCCAGTGAGTCACGTCCCCTAGGATAACAGACGGGGCTGTCAGGTAAATTTGAGGCCTGCCCATCCCTTGACCCTAGGCTCATCCAAGCATGTGGAATGCTGTTCCCAAAATTACATAAATTCCGACTAGGCTGTCACTTTGGGGGAGAGTTCATGCCATCCTTTCCCTTCAGTGTTGATCTGGAGCCGAGGTGAGGGCTTGGCTGCAGTACTGGGCAGTGCGCTGGGGGTGGTGAAGCGAGAGGCCTGGAAGTTAGCCACCAGCCTCCCCGTTTTGTCTGGGGCAATCTAGCCCCAGCATTTCTGGACAGGACAAGGGACCAGAACGCCAACCGCCCTGAAATTCGGGGAGGACTGGGACACGCACCTGCCACTGCCCATCATCAGTGAATCCAGGTCTCCTTTCACAAAGAAAGAGTTGTTTCCTGTCCACTTAAAGACCTGGGATGACAGGAAAAGGCTCTGGTTACTGCATGAGTCCTGCCCTCGCAATCTGACTCTATACCACTGGGTGGCAGTATGGTGGAGGGAACAGACCCGTCCAGGCTCTTGAGATTTTCCAGTCTCCCTGGAGGTACCTCAGCCTGCCCTCCATCTGAATTCCCACAGGCCCAGAGCTCCTCCGAATCCGCCTAGGCTTCCTCCCTCCAGAGCGGGAGAGGAGCGGAAAGCCCAGGTCAGCAGTGAGGCCCTGATTCTACTACTATCTCCCCATCTCCTCCTGGAGCTTCCCACTTGCCAGTGCTGTCTCACACCCAGTTCCTCAGCAAGCCTTGCGGGCCCTCCCCCAAAGAGACACCCTGTCTAGGGCATGTCTGCCCCACCACCATCTACACTCACTCATGCCCAAGTGTCACTCCTGCTGGATCACAGCCTCCTAACAGGTCTCTGCTTCCACTGCCTCCTGCCCCCAGCACGTCTGCATGCTGCAATCTGAGTGATCTATTCAAACTCTTAATTGGATATTTTCACCCCCTGCCTAAAGCCCTCCTGTGGCTTCCCACTGCAGTGGCAACTGCTCTAGCGAAAGCCCAGTCTGCTCTGACCCCCGATCTTCTCTCTGACTTCACCTTACTGACTGCACTTGAGCTACACTGGCCTTTCTGTCCCAGGGACATCCACAGCTATTCCTGCTTTAGGACCTTCATGCTTGTTGAGCCTTCTGCCCAGAATACTCTTCCCTGAGATCCTCAAATGGCCCACTTCTCATCTTTTAGCCCAAATGTCATCCCAGAGAAATTTCCTAGACCACTCTCTCTGTAGAAAGTAGCCCTTCCTCCCAGTTCTATTTTGTTTTCCTCAGCATTTGCCTTTCTTTGCCATGACCCCTTTCATGTGTCAGTGGGACACTCTGCCCCACTAACATGTAAGCAAGGGCTGTCTTGATTCCTGGCATTATTCCTGAGATGTGGTATAGGTGTTAGTTGAATGAATATATTATTCAAGAGTCAATTTAGCTAATAAAAATTTTTTTTTAAAGTGTAGTATATTATTGTCTATAATTAGTTGGAGAAAAATGTTGTGAGCAACCAGTGGTTTTAGCAAGAAAATGGGCTAAACCTTGAGCTCAGAAGAGATGAGATAATGTAACATGTGACCATGAGAATACAGAGCCATTCAACTCCTCCTCTATTCTCGGCAAGGATCATGACCTCCAAACTTGAAGGAGTAAGATAAGGATTGCTACAGAAGAAGTAAAGAGCATGTTCCTGATGCTGTTCGGACACATGATCAAGGAACTGCTGGGAATTCATGCAGAGCACAAGAGGTACCAGAAGACAAAAGATAGGCAAAAAGTAACCAGTTTTTGAGAAGATGAGATTTCATGACAATAGTCTGGGGAAACAAACCCTTGAAAAAAATCATTCGTTCAATATATTTTTTAAGCATTTGCACCAGGCATTGTTTTAGGTACAGGGTAGAAGGGTGTAATAACAAAAGTTTCTGCCACCTGTGACTAATTCCATTTAGTGGGGGGAGGCAGGTAAATAAATAAATAGTATGTTAGGTGGTGATATATGCTAAGGAGGAAAAAGTAGAGAAGGACAATATGATTCTCAAGGGATGGAGTGTTGTAAATTTAAATTAGGTAGTCAGAGAGGGCCTCGCTGACATGGTAACAGTAGAGTCCTGAAGGAGGTGACGATTGAGCCATGTGGAGATCCAGTGGAGAGCATGCTAGGCAGAACAGCATGTGCAAAGGCCCTGAGGTAGGAGCTGGCCTGCATGTTTAATGACCAGCTCAGAGGTCAGTGTGATTAGAGCAAAGTGAGGGAAAGGAAAATTAGTAAGACACAACATCAGAGTGAGTCCAGAAGGTGTAGGGCCTTACAAGGACACTGGCTTTTCTCTGAGTGAAAAAGGAAGCCATTGGCAGCTTGGAACTAAGAAGTGACATTCTTTGACTTAACCTTTTAAAAGCAACACTCTAGCTATCGTGATGACTAACAGTGGAAGCAGGGAAATCCATTAGGAGACTATAGCTTTAACACAGGCCAGTAATAATGATGGTGGCTTGAACCAGAGTGACTGCAAAGGATATGGGAAGAAGTGGTAGACTCTCGATACAGAGAAGGCAGAGCCATCAGGATTTGTTGACAGTTCATAGGTAGAGTGTGAAAGAGAGGAGTTAAGACTCCAAAATTTTGGGTCTCAGCAGCAGGAAAGATGGGTTGCCAATAACTTCACTGGGGAACATGGCAGGAGGAGCAGATTTCATGGGGGAAAGTCAGGAGCTCCGTTTTGGACATGTGAGGCTTGAAATGCCATGTATTGGGATCCAAGTGGAGATGCTGGGTGGTGGTTGGGTATATGTGAGTTTGGAGTCCAGGGAAGAAGCCATCAGCACATGCATGGCATGCAAAACTGGAAATTGATAAGAGCTTGGAGGAAACGAGGGTGTTAAGAGACAAACCAGCAGCTGAGCTCTGGGCCCCACTGATGTTAAGAGGTTGGGGAGATGAGGAGGAAGTAGCAAAGGATTCTGCCAAGGAGTTGTAAGTGCAGTAGGAGGGAAATTCTGAAACTTTAGAATTGTAGCATGTGAACGCAGCAAGGCAAGTGATGAAGACTACAATCCAGCACAGGTTTACTATGAACTAACAGCTTTCCTGTTTTCTGAGAAGATTACCAGGCTGGCTGATGGAAGCGATGCAATAGATATGGTGGGATTTGACTTAAGCAAAGCAGTCCGCAGCTTCTTGTGACCTTGTCATGTGACCAGATGCTTGTGTCTGGAGGCACCTGTGGATGTCCTGGTCTGTGCATTGGAGAAGGGTCTCTTGGAGCAAACCAAAGCACCCAAAACTGGCTCTTCATCCACTAAACACCAACACCCTCCACTACCTGGTGGCCTTCTATTTGTCCATCAAGCCTGTGAAGACTGTATGAGCTTGGGCAAGTGACTCAACCTGTCTGTGTCACTTTCCTCATCTATAAGATGGGGCTGATAATAGAATGTACCTCACAGGATTGCTGTGATGATTAACTGCACTAATTTGTGAGTCTCAGAACAGCCTAAGGCAATAAACAAGTACATGTTAGCTGCTATTACTTGTATTAGTAGTAAAAGTAGTGTACTTCGTGCCAAGCACTAAGTTTTATTCAATGTGCTTACCCAATGTGCTCTGTAGTTTTATTCAATAAGTAACCCAGAGATGGAAAAGCTTGAGATGGGAGAAGTTTGGAACTATTCTCCTGCCTCCTTCAGAAGCCCTGTTCCCAGGCCATTGGTGCCATCTGGCTTGGTAACAGTCATCCTGTCCCTGTCACTCACGCATCTCCTTGTCATCAGTTGTCATTAGCCAGAGACTTGAGCTCTGGCTTGCCATCCTCCTGCCTTCCTCATTCCCGCTGTTGTCCTTGGTGAACTTGGCCATCCACCTGGAACCCCCACCCCCCACTGCCCTTCAGCCCCTTTGCTCTCCTCTCTAGGGGTTTTCTCATACCCACCTCAGCCCCCATCTCCCATGGTCACTCCAGGAACTTGTCCTCGCCAGTTTCAAATGACCCTCTCTGTATCTTACATTCCAACACGGTGCTCAGCTGGCTTCACTGCTCCAAGTCTGACCCCGAGGCTACATCCCGTCCGTTGTTCCTGGCTTTGTCTCATTGTCCCTCAGTCCCCTTGAGCTCCCCTTCCCTACTCATCCAGCCCAGGTTCTGCACTCCATTTTTTATTCCCACCCCTGCTCCCTCTCTCCGTCTGGTAAAGCAGCTGGGCAGATCTCCACCCCCAATCCTGGGTGAACCCTCCCATCCCATGCCCCAACCCGAGGGCTACAGTAGCTGAAAGAAAGCGCACGTGGGGTTGGGCTGGCCTGTAAATTCTCACACCCACCTCCAGCAGCACCGCCCAGCTCTCTGCTCCTCTCCTTTTCTCTGAGGCATCCCTTCCCATTCCCCTCGACTCTCACACCTGCTCCTCCATCTTCCCTCTTAGCTGATGACCCCCCCTCTATGTCACAAGAAATTTAAAGCCACTGGATGTGCCTGTCTTCATCTTCCACCCCCACACCTACAGGGTCTACCTGCACGTGAACCCATCTTATCTTTACAGCCTGTGTCTGCTGAGCAACATCCCTCCTGCCCCTCCTCTCGTCACAGCTTGTCAGTGGTTGCCAGGGGCCTACTGCACATCTTTAAAGTTGAAGATGGGCAGGCCAAGGGGATGCTTTACCCACCGCTGCCCTGTTGCATTCCCTCTTTGGAAAGATGGAGGGACCAGGACCCCAGCCCTCCCCAGAGGTTAGGAACATCACCTTCAGCTGTGGGGAGAAGGAGAAGAGGAATGCCTCGCCTGTGCCATAGAAGCCTTTGCTGAGCCGAATAGCTGAGGAGGAGAAGGCCCCAAACATCTGGAAAGCAGAAGAGCATACGGTTTGCAGCTGGAAGGGAGCTGGAGGTCCTCTGGCAACCCCACTCTCTAAGCTTGGTAATAGGGGCTCATCCTCGAGGGGCACCTGGGGAGCCAGGGGCTGGGGAGACCCCCATGGGCCCATCAACACCCATCTTTTCCCTTAACACTCCACAAAGAAGTGCTCTTGCTGGAGTTCTACTTTTTCTTAAATGTACTTATTTTATACAAGTATTCCATGTAAAAACATATTTGAAGTTACTGACAAGCAGAAAGAAAAAAAGCCATCCCAAATCCCCATTCTTCCTCCCCAAGGTAACTACAGTTGACCCTTGAACAGCATGGGTTTGAACTACACAGGTCCACTTATACATGGAGTTTTTTCAATACATTTAATAGAAAACTTTTTTGAGATTTTTGACAACGTGAAAAAAACCTTTTCCCTAGCTTATTTCATTTTAAGAATACAGTATATAATACATATAACTTACAATATATGTATTAATTGATCGTTTATGTTATCAGTAAGGCTTCCAGTCAACAGTAGGCTATTAGTAGTTAAGTTTTTGGGGAGTCAAAATATATCGTAGATTTTTTACTGCACTGGGGGTCAGCATCCCTAACCCCTACACTATTCAAAGGTCAACTGTGTTCTTAATATTTCAGTGCATTTCCTTCTAGCATCTGTTTAATGCCAGTGTACATATTCTCTTACAAAAAATGAGATCCTATAGTGTACTTGTAAGTTGTTCCCCCCACCCTGTCATTTATAAAATTTCAAACATACAGAAAAGTTAAAATCACAGTACAAATACCCATGATGTAGATTCAAAACTGTTAATGCGTTTGCCATATTTTCTTTCTTTTTCTTTATACTTTTTTCTGTTCATTTAAAAGTAAGTTACAGATATTTCTAATATCTATCCCTAAGTAGTTTAGCACCTATGAATGGGGACTTCCTCTTATATAACTATAATACTATTATCTCACCTAAGAAAATTACTATCAGTTCCATAATAGTATCTAGTATCCAGTTCATAGTCCATTTTCTGCAATTGTCCCAAGAGTGCCATTTATATCTTGCTTTAAAAACCAAAATCAACACTTAATAACTATGGTTCTACATCATTTTTCTTGCCTGCCTAATATTTCACTATGTAACTAGACCAGACCATAGTTTACTTAGCCATTTTCCCCTGTAGGAGAGTCAGGTGGGCTGCAGTTTCTCACTCTTGTAAACAATGCTGAGTGGCACAGGCAGGATCACTGGGAGGCAGCTTTGGGAGTAGGTTTTGGCTTAACAGGAGAATCTTCCTCATTCTCCCAAAGAAGGGGCTCCATCCAGGAGGAATGAGCTTCCTGGCATTTTGAGGAAGGAGCTCGTGCCCAAGTGGGCATTCCCTGGAACCCTAAGATCTCTCCCAGTCTGATATGTTCCTTCCACAGAACAACAGTTGAAACCAGTGGCCACCCCCTCCCTGGCCCCTGCCTGGAGAGCCTGCCTGAAATCCCCCCGTTGCAGAGACCAGAGGGGCTTGAGGCAGTGGCGTCTTGAGGTCCCAGGTGTAAAAGGCAGGAGTGTCTGTCCAGTGGCTGCCTCCTCCCTAGCTGGCTTTCATTCTTACCTCCTTGATCCATTCTTCTCCCACCAGCAGGGGGATGATTTCAAAGCCTAAACAGATCATTAAGGTGTATAAGCTCTGCTTAACCTCTCTCCTGTTTCTGGTGCTGCTGAGGAAAACGCTGCCGTTTTACATTTAGTCAAATGATTTATTTGCTTAACATCTGGCCCTTCCCCTATTATGCCCTTTACTCCAAGAGGGCTGGCACCTGATCCTGCTCTGTTCCCCATCTAAGCTGGGCACATAGAAAGTGCTTAATATACATGTGTGGAATGAATAAATTAGGGACTGAATGAATGAGGAAATGGCTGTGAGTCACATAGGTCTCAATGGCATCATCAGTAGTGTCCATTATAGGCAATTTAGACTTTCACCTCTGCCCTCTCATCCCTGAGGCTGCCCTGGGCAGGATCCATTTGTACATGGTTGGTGCCCACAGGGCCTCAGGCTGGGGCCCTGGCCCAGCTCACCTGCCCATCCTGGTCCCGCAGTGCCAGCAGCACTGGCCCGTTGTGGCCCTCCATCTGCCTGTACAGGTTCCGCAGACTGAAGCCATCCCTGGATGTACAGAAGGCCAGACTCCAGGAATGTCCGATGACTCTTGGGGGGAGGTGGAGGCTGAGCTGGAGACAGGGCTGGAGGTGAGCAAGGGATCATCCTCGTCCTCCTACCCTCCTTCCACCATATCCCCGGGACCCCAGAAACACTGAGGTTAAACAGGCTCTGCTCACACAGGCAGGCTGCAGAGTATCTTATACTGTTTCCAGACGACTTTCATGCCCATCAGCAGTAGCCCTTGGAGAGAGGAATTACTGTTCCCATTTACAGATGAGGAAACTAAGGCTCAGGGAGGTGAAGCAACTTGCCTAAAGTTTACATGGGGAGTAAGTAGCAGAGTGAGGATTTGAACCCAGGGCAGGTCTCAAGACTTCCCTGGCCACCCTGGCCCCTAGAGGCTGGAGAATAGATGAGGTGCTGAACTCCTCCTACTAATCCCTCCATCCCACCCTCCCCCACCCACCCAGCTTTGCGACAGAGCAGGCGTAAACCCAGGAGTCCCAGCCCTGGCTGGTGTCACGCAGGAGGGCAGGACCTTCAGGCTCAGGGCTGGAATCCTCGAATCACGGGTCTTGCCCGAACCTGCCGGATATCTGAGGCTCCCAGAACCTGGCTGCCTTCTGCTAGCTGGGTCTCCACAGGATCTTCAGGAGCTGGGGCTGGGGCTGTCTCCTCTTCTTCCCCTTCCTTTCCCTCCTCTGCAGACAGAGCATCCTCTACCTGGCTGGGCTGCAAGGACACATGGGCCTGGTGAGTAGAGGGCCCAGGAGCTCCCGGCTTCCACATCTCCTGAGCCTGAGAGCATTGGCTGCCTCACACTGCAGAAGCCCTGCAACTGCCAGCCCAGCCAGAGGAGGCTGGGAGCACCCATGGCAGCCGAGACCCTGTCCCTGCCTCCAGCTGGCTCCCTCCGCAGTCCCTACTGGCTGCGGGTCAGCACGCACATGCCCGTCGGATGTGGCCATGGGCCTTGCGTTTGTCTGCCTGTCTGCTCTGCACCCAGAGGGGGTGCTGGGGATCAGGTTCTAAGCTTGGGGGCAGGAGACGAGGGCAGGTGGCAGCCCCAGCCCTGGGAGCTGCAACTGTGCATTTGAACATGAAATACTGATAATGACAACAACCGTGGCTGACATGGATCGGCACACACTTGGCCAGGCTGAGTGAAAGGCTTACAGTGCATGATCCCTCTGAATTTTCCCAAGAACCCTAAGAAAGTGCTTCTTACTATCCCCATCTGACAGAGGAAGAAAGTGAGGCCAGAGGCTTCCCTGTCAGCCAGGGAAACTACACATGTAGGTGAGACAGTGTGTGCAGGTTTCTGTAAGACGTGCGTTCGTCTGTGTGAACGTCTGTTAAAATAGACTTATGTAGGCAAATCAGTGTGAGGTGTTGAGTGTAACTTTGTGTGTGTACCTGTCAGTGTGATGTGAGTGTAAAGTAGGAGTGTGTGTGTATGTCAGTGTGCCAGTATGTTGGTATGTTCATTCATTCATTTGTTTCAGTTTCCACTCTGAACCAGAGTGCATGTGTGTGCAAGCAAGTCACCTGGGCACTTCTCGTGGGGAGGACATTGCTCTCCTGTTCCCCAGGTCCGGGCCTAAGGAGGGGTCCCTGTTGTGTAGGACAGAGCCCCATCTGGCACCCAGTCCACTGGGGAAAAGACAGAGGCAGCGGCCTGTGGTCCTCAACCGTCTCAGGACCAAGGGCAGGGAGACAAGGCCCCGGGTTTCTGAGTCTGCCCTCTGTGCCCCAGGCCAGCTGGGGAGAGACTTGGAAGGGGAACAAATCACCCACCTGCGCTTAACTCTAGCCCCGGCCCCACCCTGCCAGAGAGTTCCCCGTCTCCCACCTTTCCTGACCTGCCCCCAGCCCAAGCTGTGTCCTTTACCAGCCGAGAGTAACGCCAGTGGAAACCTTTCATTCTCCTGGGCGAGCTGGCCTCAAGGTTAAGCACGTCCTCAGCCCTGCAGGGGGGAAGAAAAACAGCTGGGTGAGGCGTAGAGGTGAGAGGGAGAAGCCTGGGCCACACCCGCTGGCTCCATGCCCATCAGCTGCCCTTTGCTCCCTCTCACTTGTCACTCCCAGGTGGAGTTGTCACTGGGCATGTTTGTGAGGTCAGCTGCACTTGGCATTCGAGGCCTCACTTAACATTAGCAACTAACACTTTAACCATGCATAGTAAATTCTAGTTGTGACTCCCTTCCACCTCTTTGCCCTTCTGGCAGCCTGGCCTATGGACTGTTGCCCTTTGGGCAGATGCTTGAGCCCCACGCTGGGGGCCCAGGATGTTGCTTCCCTGTATTATCTTGAATAAGTCCCTTGCACCTCTGGGCCTTAAGTTCCCCAATGGGACATGTTGGGCCAGATCATGTCAGAGGCTTTCACAATACTGGCAGCCTGCCATTCAGTTCCCCCTCACAGCCAATGAGTGCATTATAATAGAAGCTTCATAGGGTCCAAGCCTCGGCAAAAAAAGACAGAGCTTTCAAAAAACACAGAAACAGACTTTAGTTTTCTAATTTAAAAAGTAATGTTTATTGTAGAAAATTTGAGAAATCTAGAAAAGAATAAAAAACACTACAAAAATATTCATAATTCCAATTCTCAGAGATAAACTCAACCCCTGAGGGTATTTTTCCAGTCTTTTATATTTATTCCATAAACATGTAAATATACACATATATAAATAGATCATACCATGTATAATATTATAAAGTGCTCTTTTTCCACTTTAATAAATGAGAATTTTCCAGTGACATTCAGTACCCTTTGAACACATGATTTTTAATGGCCACATATTATTTCTTCATAAGATGTACATCACTTATTCTTCAACTATTGGGTACTTTGCTTCTGATTTTGGGAGATCATAAGCAAAACTGTAATGAACCTGCCTGTTCATAAATCTGATTATATCCTTTATGATAAATTTCAAAAGCTGAACGCTGGATCAAAGGGCATACAGAGGGTTCTTGATACATGTTTTCAACAAAGCTTCCCAGTGCTTAGAGCTGATCCATGTCCAGGTACCTTCAGGGAATCTCAGGGTAATATCTTTCTGATCATGAAGTCTTACACCCTTCAATTACAGATAAGGAAACACACTTAGAAAGTGGGAGGGACTTAACACAGCCACACAAAAGAATAACATGATGGTTAAGAGCACAGGTCCCAAAGTTAGGGAGTTCAAATCCTGGTTTTGCCACTTACCGTGTGACCAATTAAAAAAATATCTCTGTACTTCAGTCACCTCATCTATAAAATACTAATATCTACCTCAGAGGGCTGTTGTAAGAGTAAATAAAGATAGTGGCTAAAGAAGTAGGATGCTAAACCAGGCCTCTGTCCTGTTCTCAATTCGATGAACTAACCCACAGGGCCTGGTGTTTGGTGAGCGCTGGATAAATGACAGCACTTACTGCTGTCCCCCCACACTGCTTGAATCCCTGCTGAGCAGCTGCTCAGTCCCCTCTGGGTACCTCTGCTGCAGTCACGCAGTAAGAAGCTCAGTGGGGAGGGAAAGGCAGGAACCGTGGAAGAATGTGCTCACCCTGATAGCCCCGGCTCCGGCTTCTGGCACCTCCTCCAGCCTGTCCAGCCTGATGGTTTCCTTAGGGCCTCTCCCAGATTCCCCAGAAAGGGGCCACTTCCAGAACCAACCCTGTCCACCTGGCAGTCCGTATGCAGCAGCTGTAGCTTCACACCCTGCTTCCCTGACAGGTGGCGGGTCCCTCTGCCCCAGCTCGGCTCCAGGCCCTCCTCCCTGGCTCTTATACCTGCCCAGAGGGTGGCAGGCCCTGGCCCTGTGCCCACTCCAGTTCCAGCTGGGAAGGCCTGGCAGTGATCATAATCCATCAGAAACTCAGATCCTACAAACACACACAAACAAGACCTTGTCACTCTCTGGCCCCGGCTCTGCCCCCACCAGCCCAAACAGGTGGTGGATACTGAACTCGTTGGCTTTAACTTGGAGCCTCTCACCACAGCTACCAGGTGCCACCTGCAGCCCACCACCAAGACCTTTCCCTTATGGGGCACAAACGTTATAGGACAGGGAATGCTGTGGGGTTTTCCATCAGTCACCCCCATGCTGCAGGGGAAGCCCAGGGCTGGGAGGCGGGGAGAGAAGCAGTCCTGCTCTGCCCTGCTCATGTCCCCCTTCCCAGATGGATGACGTCTCCTTCCTCACTGGTCTGTCATGACATTAGATGAGATCATGCACAGGCAGCCCAGCACTTGGCACACAGTAGGTCTCCATTAGTGGGAGTAACTTCTCTGTCCCTGGCTCATACTAGGACTTCAGTGAATGCTGTGTTGCTGAATCACAGAACTCAGGGCTGCAAGAGTCTTCCACCAGTCCCAGAGCAAGCAGCCTCTGGTCAGGCAGGATCCCCTGGAAATACGCCTCTGCTGGGTGGGTGAGCCTACTGTCTTGAGTGGTTCACTCTGTAATTACAGGCCTGAAACAGACCCCTCCTGCTGGGCTCTGTGGAGGGGCCTTGAGTCCCCAGATCCTCTGCCCATGGCCAGGTCTCCTGTAGCAACGCCCCCTCCAGGGAGGGTGGGATGCCCAAAGGACTTGTATTATTGGGAAAACAGGCAAGTGGGGGGCCCTGTTGCCACCTCAAACATGCCTGTTGCAATATGTGTTTAAACTGTAAATGGCTCAAGGGTCACCACCTGGCCCTCCTGCCTCTCTCCCCACTCCCAATCCCTCTTGCGAACCCATTTCCCCCACACTCAATACCTGAATCAGGGAGAAGCCTGCAAGATTTGCCTCGCTGCCCCATTCTCTGTCCTCATGTCCAGCAAAACCCAGAATGTGACCCATTGGGAACACCGACTGCTGTACAGTAGGCCCTTGAAGAGCTCTGTGTTGGGATCCTAGGTGCCAGAGTGCCCTCTCCCTAGCAGCCTGCCCTCTGCTTTCTTCTCCACCAGACCCCATGCCACCTGGTCCAAAACTGTCATTGCCAGGAAACAATTTAAATGTCCAGTAAAGGGGGAAAGGTTAAATGACCCATGGGACATCCACTCCATGGATTATTTCTAAGTATTCAAGTGATGTTTGCAAAGTGTTTATAAATGTCTGGAGAAACGCTTCTACCCTGTTAAGTGAAAAGAAGCAGGATATAGAGTTGTATGTGTAGTGCAGTTTCAGCTAGGCAAGATAAGCTTGAAAATATCAAGAGAAAATGACTAGAATCCCTTGTGAAATACACCAGGTGTTCCCTGGGCTGAATGGCCTCACTTGGAACCTCAGACGGGTGCATGAGATGGTCTGAGTAGCCCCCCCCCACCGTCATTGCATTCTGGGAAGTCTGATCGCCATTGTCAGGGAGCGCCTTTACATGGGTCCTTGCCCTCCTCAGACTCACTCCGTCTCCTCACCCCCTGCCGAGACTGTTCCCCTTCTGCAGTGCTTCTCCCTGCCTCATCCACGTCAGGCTTGCCCCTCCTCCTTGACGTGACAGTCCCCGCCATGACTGCTCCATTTCTCTTCTCCATGTACTCCGCCTCTTTGTCCTCGCCCACTCCCTCTGGTTCCTGTCCTCACCACCCCTGCTCTTGAGGTCCCAGCAGCCTCCATGTCGCCTGTGCAAGGGCACTTTTCTGCTCTCTTCCCCCAGCTTCTCTGCCACTTAGTGCGATGTCTCCTTCCTCATCTGTCTCTTCTAGCGCCTGTGCTCCATACAGACCTCCCTGTGTGACCTCACTCGGGCCCTTGGATTCAAATATTGCCTAAACTCTGATGACTCTTCATGACTCCAGACCTGCTGCTACCCTGGGCTCCAGACTCACATGTCGGTTGCCTGTATGAGTTCTCCACGTGGATGTTGCCATAAACATCTCAGACTGAATGTGTCCAAAAAGAACTCTTCATTTTGTCCTCCAAACCTGGTCTCTCTCCCCCAGACCTCCTCCAAGCTGACTTCCCTGTCTCGTTAAAGGGCGCCATCATTCAGCCTGTGACTAAAACCAGAAACCTGGGAGTTGAACTTGACTTCATTTCTCTGATTCCCTCATTTCAATCAAGGGTATCTGATTCTTTGAAGCTCCAGCATATATCTTAAGACTACCCTCTTCTTTCCCTCTCTGCTACCTCTCCCCTCATCCTAGCCTCATTCTCTCTCAGACACTGACTTAACAGCCCCTTAACCCATCTGTGAGGATCTCTTCCTGCCAGCAGCTAGAGTGATCTGTTTAAAACACACATTAAATTATATCATGCCCCTGCTTACAGCCTCCAATGGCTTATCACTGCATTTGTCCCTTCCCAAGGCACGCCGTGGCTCCTGCTGGCCACCAGCTTTGTCTCGTCCTTCTTCCATCACCCATCAAGTTCCAGTAACATTGACCTTCTCACGTCCTTGAACATCTATCAAGCTTTTCCTGCTTCAGGGCCTTTGCCCTTGTTCTTCTCTCTGCCTGGAATTCTTTTACTTTGGCTCTTTGAATAAATAACTCAGTTTAAACCTCCTCAGAGAGGCCTTCCTGGCTGCCCTATTTAAAGTAGCTTCCCTTACTAATTCTTCTAATTCCACCTCAGCCAATAGTTTGGTTCTTTCATGATTTGTATAACTAAAAAAAACCCTCAAAACAAAAAAAAACTTTAGTTAAAAAAAATCACCTCCTATTTGAAGCCTTCCAGGATTTAGTCTCCATTCAGTTTCCATCATGTTGGTCAATTTAGCAGCTTGATGGGAGAAAATTAACTCTTTTTCTACTGGGAGCATCTTCATTTCTTACAATATGATATATAATTCTTACAATCATTTAATGCTTTATTCCTTGAGTAGAACTTTATACAGCATACACTGTGTGCCTAAGCTGGACACTGCCCAATAATGCAGCACAATAGGCTCTGAAACTGAATGGCTCTGGGTTCAAATCAGTCCCGGCCCTGCCACTTCCAAGCTGTATGACCTAGGACAAGCATACCAGTTATCCATTGCTGCATAACAAACTACCCCAAAACTTAGTGACTTAAAACAACAATATTTACTCTGCAGTTCGGGACATCTCATTTCTGCTCTGGTTGGCATGAGTTGGGGCAGCTCCAAGGCTGGGGCTGAATCATCTGAAGGTTCACTCTCTCGAATGTCTGGTAGTCACCAGGACCAGAGGTGGAGCTGTAGGCTGGAACACCTGCACATGGCCTCTCCCGGAAGCCTGGTCTTCCTCCCAGCATGGTGGCTGGGTTCCAAGGTGAATGGCCTGAGAAAGAGAGAAAGAGTGGGAGAGAGAGAGACTGAGCTGGACAAAGCCTTTTATGACCTATCCCTGAAAGTCAGGATCACTTCTGCCATTCTCAGTCACAAAGTTCTGCTCAGGTCCAACGGGAGGGAACACAGACCCAGTAACTCAACAGGAAGAGTGTCAATGCCACATTGTAAAAAGAGTAATTGGGGTGAGCTGTACATTACTGTGTCCATCTTGGAAAATACAGTCCGCCACAAGAAGTTCCTAACCTTTCTGAAATCCTCTACGGAAGCGCTAAGCACAGAGCCTAGTGTAGGTGAGCGCCCATGGGTCAGGAAGCTGCAGACAGTCTCCCTGCCCACTTTCTGGACTACCATCAAGGCTAGTTGCTTTTGCAGTTTCCCACGTCTGAATGGAGCCAAGTCCAGAATCCCTGCCTTGGCCCCACCTAACCCCTGGGACCCCTCCTCACCAGGGCCTTCATGTTCCCAGGTTCTTCTGAAGCTGCAATGGAGATTCATGACTCCCCAAATCCAAAGACTCTCCGAGCCGGAAAGGCCCTCAGTTCCCTGAACAGCCACGAGTATAGGGGCCCAGACGGGGTATGTGGTACAGCTGGGACTTAGGTCCAGGCCCAAGTGGGGAGATTTAGGCCACTCTAATATCAAGACTACCAGTGTGACCAAGGGTATCTCAGGAGTGGCTGAGCCAGCCTGGCTTAGCATATCCCCTGCCTAGATTCACAAAATACAGCATCTACAAGCCCACATTCTGCATAGGGGAAGAAACGGAAGCACAGAGAGGGTAAACAATTTCCAAGAGCTACACAGCATTTCTCTGTGCCAGACCAGAACCAGCCTATAAGAAATGGGGGCATCAGAACTGTAAGGACCCTGTGGTCCATTACATCAGACTAGACCAGGTGGGGACTGTGAGGCCCAGGAAGTAGGAAGGCCTGCCCTTGGCCCTGTGTCATGCCGTGTCCCCTTGTTTGTGATGAATATTTGGTGGCCCATCTACCCCTCTACTGCATGCTTTATGAGATCAGGAATGCAGACCGCTAAGTCTACCACCATGTCCCTCAGGGTCCCACTTGGTGTCTGGGGACTGGGTGAGTGGACAGTCAGCGGGGCAGGGGAGCCCATGCCTTGCTAAGGCGGGGTGGGGATGCCCTAAAGTGTTTGTGAATCTGCCAAGAGACACTGCTCCCTACCTGGAGGAAGGATGAAAGGGTTGAGAGGTTATTCACACACCTAGATGCACCTGGATCAGGATGTAGCCATGCTCGGGTGAGAGGGCATACCCCAACACCCACTGCTGTGGGGGCGTGGGACACAAAGAAGTGGACCTGGTGCCAGCTGTGTGTCAAGGGCAAGAGGAGAAGGAACATAACTGGGGGAGGAAGTGAGAAAGGAGGAGAGGGGAAACAGGAGGAACAAGAGGCTGCCGAGGGGTAGACACAGCTCTGGCTCCCAGGGACGGCAATGGGCTGCCCTTCGGAGGATGCGTGCCCACCCGCAGAGCAGCCAAAGGGTTTAATGTGTCTGTCCCGTAGTGGCTCTGGACCCGGAGCAGCCGAGAGGAGCAGAGAGGGACAGGGGCCGGGGAAGATGTGATAGACCTGGGGGTGTGGGTGGGGAATAGACAACATAGCAAGGAGCACAGCCCTGGAAGAAAAGAAACAACACCCCCACAGCAGGGCTCCAGGGTCGTCTGCAGCTGCTCTTGGGAGGAAACGTGTGGGGGTCTCCAGCCTGTCAAGCCCCCATCCGGGCCAGAACCTACTCCCAACGTATCGCTGGTCTGACACCTCATTATGGCTCGCCTCCATTTTAGCCTTGCAGAGCTTGAAACCGGGGTCAGGGGAGAAGGGAGTATGCCTGAGATTATAGCCAGCAAAGGAGCGTGGAGCAGGTCCTGCACCCAGGGCTCCTCGGTCGCTACACGAGTGAGCGGGAAACCAAGCCTGACAGTCGGAGCACACCCTGGGGGTGTGAACTTTCTGTTGCATCGTGGCTGTGCCATTGACCTTGGGCAAATCCCAAGTCTTCCCGGGGCTTCAGTTTACGCATCTGTGCAATGGGATAATTGGTCTTTCTTTGCAAGGTTATGGGAGGCGGAGTTCGCGCACGCTCCGCACGGCGGCGAGGGGCGAGGTAGCGGGAGGTTTATGGATGCTGCCTCGGGCGACCTGAGGTCCGCCCGGCCTCCGCCTGGGAGCTCCCCCTGTCGCCGCTCGCTCGGCCCCGGCCCAGGCCAGGCTGGGCGCAGGGGCGCCACCGCTGGGTGCCTTACCCAGGCCCGCGGGGCTGGGGGCGTCGGCGGGGTGGCGGAGAGAGCCTGGTCCGCGGCCGCCGCGGCCCGCCTGACCCTCGAGGGGGTCGCTGTTGCCTCGCAGATCCCTCCCTCGCTTGCTGCCTGCGTCCCTCCCTGCCGCTCCCGCCGCGTCCGCCTTTTGTTCGCGGAGCCGCGCGCCCCCGAGCCGAGGCGGCGGGGCGGGGAGCTGGCGGGGCTGCGCGGGGGGCGGGCCGCGCCGGGCGGAGCCGGGGCCCGGGCGGCAGCCGGACTCGGAGCCCGAGGGAGCGATCGGCGCGCTGGCCGCCGGGGCCCGGGCGCGCTCCGGGGGCGCGGCGAGGCCGAGGGGGCGGGCGCCGGGCGGAGCCGCAGTCGGAGCCGGGGCGCCTGGAGGCGAGCGGGCCGCTCTCCCCGGGCTCAGAGCAGCGGAGAGGCCGTGCGGCGGGCGTCAGGGCCGGAGCACAGCCCCGAGCCCGAGGTGGGCCGAGAGGGGCCGCGGCCGGAGCGGCGCCAGGACGCTCCCCGGGGGCGCGGAGGCCGGGCAGGCCCGGGCCATGCGCGCTGCTCCCTGAGGCCGAGGGAGGCCACGATGGAGGTGTCTGCGGGAGAGCCCCCGGCCCGGGGCTGCGGTCCCCCGCCCGCACCCGCCCCGGAGAGGAAGAAGAGCCACCGCGCGCCGTCGCCGGCCCGGCCCAGGGACGTGGCCGGCTGGTCTCTGGCCAAGGGCCGTCGCGGCCCAGGCCCGGGCTCCGCAGCCGCCGGCAGCGCAGCGTCTTCCACGCGGCCCGACAAGAAGGGGCGCGCGGTAGCGCCCGGGGCGCGGGGCGCAGGGACGCGCGTCGCCGGGGTCCGTACTGGGGTCCGCGCCAAGGGCCGCCCGCGCCCGGGTGCCGGGCCGCGACCACCGCCGCCGCCGCCCAGCCTCACCGACAGCAGCTCAGAGGTGTCGGACTGCGCGTCGGAGGAGGCGCGCCTGCTGGGCCTGGAGCTGGCGCTGAGCAGCGACGCCGAGTCGGCGGCCGGGGGCCCGGCGGGGGCCCGCACCGGGCAGCAGCCCCAGCCCGCGCTGCCCGCACAGCAGCCTCCGCGGCCACCCGCCTCCCCGGATGAGCCGTCGGTGACCGCGTCGTCTGTGGGCAGCAGCCGCCTGCCACTCAGTGCCTCTCTCGCCTTCTCCGACCTCACCGAGGAGATGCTGGACTGCGGGCCCGGCGGCTTCATGCGAGAATTGGAGGAGCTGCGCTCGGAAAACGACTATCTCAAGGTGGGGGCGCTGATGGGGGAGAAAGGGGGTCACGGCAGGCGCCGGGCCTCAGCCCCACTGGCCTGAGGCACAGTCGGCCCACTGTCCCACCAAACGAGATGGGAAAAGAGGCCTAAACCCTTGGGGACCACCTGACCGACCTAGGGCCCCCTCATATCCCTCCTCCGGTTTTATTTGGGGAACCCCGTCCTGTGGAGGAACCTAGATGAGCTGGGAAGGGGGAGCTTGGGAACGCTGCTTTGGAGCCTGCCTAGTAGATGCAGTGCTTGGGAGAGGGGTGGTTAGTGAGGAGCTGGACCACAGCCTTCAGCTCAGAACCGCTGCCCTCAGCCAGTGGCGAGGCCTTTGCTGGCCCTCCTTTCTGGGACAGGCAGCCGTGTGCACTACGGGGAAACCTGTGGCTGTCCGCTGCCGACGAGAGACCGGAACACCATCCTGAGGCTTTACTCAGGGCTTTCCCGGGCACAGGCCTGTCCCCGCCTGCCTTTCAGGGCGGGTCCCGTTTGAAAGTATGACATCTGGGAACATCCCCTTGGCTGGAGTCCGACTTCCGCCCAGTCTAACGGTCCCACAGCCTGGGAGGGTGATGTTGTGGGAGAACCAGTTCAGAGGCAGCTTCCTAAATCCCAAGATAATTGTGTTCTGCCCTGTCCGGGACATGCCCTGTACACACAGCTACCCATTAGCCCCTCACGGTGGGTGGCCAGGTCCTTCCCGTGCTCCTAGTGGGAGGAGGGAAGCTGCCTCACTAAAAGGCGCATCCCTCTGGGCACATGGGGAACCGAGAGCCCCCCTAGAAGAGCAGGCTTTGCCTTCACCCTTTCAGGGGACATGAGCACATATTGAGTGCAGGCCAGGCTCCGGTCTGCCCGCTGCCTGGAACCCCTGCAGCTTGAGAGACAGCCCAGCCCTCGCGTGTCGACCTTGGCTGGGGAGATTGGAAGCTTCATGGGCTCTACTGCCACTGGCAGGGCTTGCTTTTGGAAGAGGCTGGAATGTTGCCTATTCTTGCCAGTTGATGCTACCTCAACACCAGAAGAACCCTGGCGAAGAGCCACGGAATCACCACCACACTGCTGATTTATGTCTGCCCCACAACACTTAGCTTGGTATTGCAGCTCTTCAGGCCAAATAGGTTTCTCTCACATTAGAGCTTGGGTCTTGCTCAACTGTGTCTCTCCCTGATGATTTTCCCCTGGGATCTGCTACCAGCTTATGTTCAGTAAGAGCTTGTAGAATAACAAACTAGGGTAACCTCCCCTTCCAGTCCCAAGCCAGTCCCTGTGCCAGGTCTCAGTTTCCTCATTTGTTAAGTGGAGGGTGAGTTTTCCCAGACGCTCCATTCACTGTTGACAGCTGGGGGTTCAGTCAGCTCTCACAGTCTTCAGAAGCCAGTGGTGAGGAGAGGACAAGCGGAGGGTGGTAGGAGGAGGGAGACAATCCAGAAAGAATCTTAGCCCTGCCCTCTTGTTGCTGAGAGCTGCTTCTGGTACTGCTTGCCTGAGCTGCTCTAAGCCCAGACCTTGAGCTCCTCACTCCCACCTCCTGGCCTGCTCTGTTCACCCTGGCAAGGGAAAGTGGGCCAGGGAGTTTTGCTTCAGGGTCTTCCCAGGTACCCACTCCTGTGGGCTCCTGCCCATCCCAGGAAGTCACTGGCAGAGCTCTGGAATCCATCTGAGCCACTGTGACTGTTAAAATGGAAAATAGTCCCAGAGGCTGGAGCTGAACCCAAGATCTCATGGGCCAGAGCGTGGCTGGACACCAGCCACTGCCTAGGCCATGGCTGGGCTTTGGTTTCTGCCATTCAGTCAGTGCTTCAGGCTTCCTGCACAGGCCTTAGTCTCCTATTGGGTCTGGGGTCTGTAGCTTCTGGGCTATGTGATCTTGGGCTAGTTACATAAGTCTCTGGACCTCCATTTTCTCATAAAAAGGTGCACCACCCATCTTCCAACCTTAAGGGTTAACTGGTCTAATGTGTGCAGACACCACCAGAGCACCTGGCATGGAGTGAGCCTCATAGGAGGGCTGCAGTCATCACTGTGCTTATTCAGGGGCATGTGACACATTCCATGGGTGCCATCATATTCTCTGCAGATTCTTTGGGGGTAGAGTAGATCCTTCTCCTTGTCTGAAGCAGGCATGACTCTCTCCTGGCCCCTCATTCATTCACCAACTATTACTTAGAGCCTACTGTGTACAGGTACTAGCACAGACTTGAGGATACAGCCCTGGGTGACAATGGAGTGTCTTTTTCATGGAGCTTTATTTTGGGTCTAGTGGGGAAGACTGGAATTACCAATGTCGTACTATAAATCACCACACAATAAAGGTGGAGAAGGGCCCAGTGTGCCAAGAGCATATGCAGGTGGGGCTGAGGGTGCTCAGGGAGACCAAGGGCTGAAGGCCGAGATGGAGCCGGCTAAATAAGGAGCTGCAGTGAGAACATTCCAGGCTAAAGGAAGTAAGAAAAAGCTTGTTGATTTTGAGGACTGGTGCTGAGGACGGAGAGAGTAAAGGGATTGGATGGAAGAGGTGAGCAGGTCCAGATCGTGCAGTTCCCACTGTGTACACTTGAGTTGGTCCCTAAACTTCTCTAGAACTTTGCTTAACCCAGCTGCCAACCTCAGAGGCCAGGTGAAAGTCTAGAGACCATGGATGTGGACCATAAATGGAGGGGCTATTACAGGAGGTGTTGTTTGGTTCACCCTACAGATGGGCACACTCTGCCTAGAGCAGGGAAGAGACTTGTTCTGTTGCAGAGCCGCTTCTCCAGGCAGCCGGGTTTGGAGTAAGAGTGCCTAACACTCTTGATGTGTTCCCTGCCCCTCTGCGCCACTTTGCATCTAGGACGCAGAAGCTGAGTTACCAGGAGAAGGACTCCAGATCCCCAGCATGTCCCCTGCAGGCCTCATGCTGCCTGGGTTGAGTCCCGCTGAGTCCAATGGGGCCCACTCAGGCTCATCTCCTGGCTGGTGGGGGGCGCTGGGAACTGCCACCCGGGGAAGGCCTCATGGGTGGTGTCAGGTCCCCTATCTCAGGAGACCTACTCTGGGGACCAAGTGGAAAGCATCAATGGGGCAGCTCTCTCCCAGGGAGGCAGTAGAAGGAGCTGCTGCCGAAAAGGGAGTGAGCTCACTGTCCCTTGAGTTAGTTCGAAGAGAGTCTGGGTGACTTTGTTTGGATAAAGACACAGGGCTTGTGCAATGCAGCATTTTGTAAACTGTACAAAATGGTGGCGGCTGTGATTACTTGAGGTGGCTTCAGGAAGAAATTTAAGTGGTGGCTACAGTTGAGCTGGTTAACCTCAGAGTCCCCTCTAGGCAAAGATGTCTGAAGGTTATTGACTTTTGGAATTCTAGGATTCTGAGATGCAGCTTAGGTTAGAGCAGACACATCAACTATGTTTGACCTTCGAAGCCCTGGTGGTCTGAGGTCTTCCAGCTGCTCGCCACCACTAACTGTCACTCATATGTCATGTAGTGAAGACATGCTGGGAATCCCCTGGGGTGTGGATGGAAGCATCTGAAAGTTGGAGCCCAAACACCTGGCTTTGAGACCTGACTGTCATTTACTGTGTGGCCATGGGCAAGTCACTTGGCCTCTCTGAGTACTTGTTTTCATCTGTAGAATGAAGATGATGGAACCTGCCTCGGCAACTTCATAGGACTCTTTTCAGAAATCAGGGAGGTATGAATGGACAAGAAAACATTCTGCAAGTAGTGAAATCCCACATTTCTTGTGGAATTGTTATTATTGTTAGCCAGTGAGCAGACAGGATGTGTACCTCTTTAGTCTTGGAGGAGCTGGGAGAAGCCAGGAGGGTGGATCCCCTCAGCTTTAGGAAGTTAACAAAGCAGAAACTGCTCCAGGGAGTACAGGAAGGTGTGATCACATTGCATGCTGTGTGGGCTCCATGAAGCAGGGCCTCCCACCTCCTTGGAGGGACTAGAGGTGTGTTTGAAATGCCGCCAATCTAGATGTCAGCCCAGAAGGGCCCAGAGAAAGCATCTAATCCAGCCCCCAGTTCCCAGTGCACAGTTGGGTAAATGGAGTTTCCAGATCACACACAGCCAGGTTTCCAAACCTGGTTGGTCTAACTCTGGGTCCTGTTCTGTTTCCGGTGTGACTTGAGCAGGGAGCTTTTGGTCACTAACAGTGTGTCTAGTCCAGGGCACAGGTTGGTGAGAGGAATCCTATTGTGTGCCAGGCTCTAGGCTAAGACTTGTTGGGAACAAGTGGGGAATTACATGTGCTTGGTCTGGGGCCTGGAGCCTTCAGGCAGTGGGTGGAGGGTGTGTGTGTGCCTGCATGTGTCACTGTGTACTTGCACCAGTGCAGTGTGATTGGGACTGGGGCATCTGAGACCCTGGAAGAAGTGATGGGCATTGGGATGCACCCTTCAGGGTGAGTGAATGGTTAGGCTGGAACTCAGCATGCTGGAATGTGAGAGTTGGCCTGGGGACCCCCACACTACCGATCCCTGGGCTTTTATGGCCCTTGTCTCACATGCCAACTACTGATCATTTCCAGGGTGCCAAGCTCTGGGTTAAATAAGCCCTTTACTCCTCACGGCCTGCGTGGAGGGTTCTGATTCTGATATCAGACCTGCTTGGCAGATGAAGAAACAGAGAGGCCATGTAACATGCCCAAGATTGCACAGCTGATGTACTTGGGAACCTCTCTAGACAACCCTAAGGGACTCCTCTTCCCTGGGCATCTTTCACCCTTCCCATGTAGCAGCGCCCACTCCCATGCAGGAGGCAGCTTGTGCCTCAGAGTTTCACTGAGCAGTGATCTCACCTGGCTTTGCTAGTTACAAGCTGTGTGACACTGGTGAGATATTCAGTCTTTCTGAGCCTGTTTCTTCTGTAAAATGGGGGATAAGCATGCCTGCCCCTGGGAGAGTGGGGACACTTTTCAGTATGGTGATATAGACCAATGCACAGTAAATGTTAGCGCCTGTTACTTCTTTAGACATTCACTCACTCACTCATTCATTC